GTAATATGAACAAATATGAATAATAATGAGATAAATTAAAAATTTTTCTTTTATAATAATCTATGAGTTTCAAAGAAACATAACCCATAGTAATGTCATTTACATTCTACTTACCAAATTACATATATCTATATATATACATAAATATACCTTTCTATGATGTTTCGTTGTATTTCTATTCGATGATAAGAAGCCCAGAAGGACACGGACGTTCGATGCTTGATAAATAGTATGTTAGCCAACGGATGGCGGCGCTGTAATCATCTCTCCATCTCTCTTAATCTTATGGCGATATATAGTGATTGCATTCTTTCTTTCTCTTACACCCAATACTCGCCTTTCTATATGCGTCTCTCTTCTTCCCGTACGTGAGATAAAGTTGGATAACACGTGCGATCTCTTTTACCCCCACTTCTGGTTTCTTAGCCATCTTTTAGAGCATCAAGCGCTAACATAGGATCTGGGCTTCAGTGGGGTAACGCTCTAATCGGAGAAATTAAATGGTGTTTGCAGCGCCATCTGACCTAGTAGACGGAAGTGAAGAACTAATTTTGCGCTTGCGCGTTACTCATTAACCAATGACATCTGTATTATTTCTTCAGAACCCTGTAGTACCCTGGTGACAAATATGATTTTCATTTTTTACTTTCTACTCAACCTACCTTCTTCTGTTTATTTAATATTTTCATACGTCTTAATCATCAAAATTTTAAATAACCTGTAATAGCAGTAATAGCTTTAATAATAGAGAATGTAACAAACTTTAGCAATAAATAATTACTAGAAAAAGTGTGTTTTTATTTCTGTACGAAAGAAACCTAGGACATTCAATGCGTTCCTTATTACAAAAGAAGGAAAATTAGTTCTCATTTCGTTCCCAATAACGTATTGATTTTGTAAATGTATTTTAAAGTTGCTATAAATTATCATCGTTATCATCGAATAGAAATACAACGAAACATCGTAGGAAGGTATATCTATGTACTGTGACGTGGCAGAATTCTGCTGTCACAATTAGGGGCGCGGCGGTAGCGGTGAGTACCGAATTTTGACATTATTTAATTTCAGTATCGGTTGGCGACACTCGGAGCCATCTTGGGCAATCATTAATTGTAAGTATGTATTGTAAAAATTTGTTAGTATAAGATTTGTTATTTAGTAAGTAT